TTTCTCACTACCTGCTTCAGCCTACTGTTTCCACAATCCCCTGAGCAAGGGTCCTGTACAACACTGATGCTAAGGTTATCACTTGCACACATGTCCACTACTGAGGTGATTATTAGACTGATCATCTCTCAAAAGAGCACAGTAACACTTAGATTAATAACAGATCGTCACATTGATTTATCAGTCTACTCAAGCTTTAGCAGAGCTCAGTAACACTGAGATTAATAACTGATCATCACGTTGATCTGTCAGTCTACTCAGGCTTTAGCAAAGTAGTGTTACTTAGTAACACTGAGATAAATAATTGACTCTTCACATTGATTTATGAGTGTACTCAGGCTTTAGCCAGAATAACTTTTGGTAAAGAAACTGTTAATTGAGGTCCTTTTAAGGGTTCATCTAATCACTGCTGATTTAAAAACAAGCACTGATTTTAAAACAAGCAGCTATAGTGCTTCTTTTGGAGATTTTTTTTTATTTAGTGGGAAAGGATTCTTAAAGTATTTTCCTATAAATGTAACAAATATCTTTATTCTGAATACTGCCTTTGCAAAAGGTAACTGAATACAGATACTTTATGTCTGTATTCTAAATATGTATTCCCAATGCTTGTATTCCATTACATCCATCAGTCATTACATCCATGCATTTCCAAAGTTTGCATTTTTCATGGTAATCCAGAATAGAACATTTTCTAAATAGAATATATTACATAAACACAGCAAACAAAACATTTGTAGAGCCAAAAAAGAAAGCATGAATTGGAAAAAAAAAAACTGTTAGCTTTTTATATTGCTTACTCTTGATTGGTGCAGTTACAGTTATTCACCTAAGTGTGTGAACACCTGATGGCCATATTTGATCAGTTGGTTCACACGTGTGGTATTTTAAAAGGCAGTGCCTTGAAATGGCAAAGAAGCGACATCATGTTAGATTTCTGTGTCTAATGTAGAGAAGTGTGTTTAGTGGTCTGCAAAACACAGCAATCGTAAAAAAAACTGTAACTCCAACCTGGATAGCAGATGGCGTTGGCAATGAGACAAGGCTGATGAAACATGAAGCACACTGAGTAAATAGACCACTGTAGTCATGCGTCATTCTGTAGTCTGCATTATGCCCATATTAGGAACTCTGGATCTAAGCTTGATTTCTCTATGACCAGAATGAATAGGTTTTTCCAAAAATCACCTCTATTGCACCCTGTGTTAAATAAAAATAATAATAATAAAAAAAAACCAGAACCTGATACGTTTTGTCCTGTGTACATTTTTCTCCTGAATATTACTGGATCCTGCTTCTTGTTCTGACTTATTTTCATCTGTCCTCACTTTGTACAAGGAAATACACTACCACATTGGTAAAGCATGCTAGTTTGCATAATATAACTACTTGCCCATATAGTTTGGTCTAGTCTGCATCATATAACTCTCCGTCAGAAAAAAGACCCACTCCAGCCTTGAGGATATGTATAATAATCATATAAAGTTTTTAAACCCAAATGTGGCTGATACGTACTAGTGTTCGGGAAGTTACTTTGAAAGCTTAGCTTTACAAGCCACCAATTACTTCACACTGAAAGAAGCTGAACTACAGCAAAGCTACTCTGGAGAGAAATCTAGCATGGTTAACTAAAGCTACTTAAAGTAGTTCGAACTACACTGCTCAAAAAAATAAAGGGAACACTTAAACAACACAATATAACTCCAAGTAAATCAAACTTCTGTGAAATCAAACTGTCCATTTAGGAAGCAACACTGATTGACAATCAATTTCACATGCTGTTGTGCAAATGGAATAGACAAAAGGTGGAAATCATTGGCGATTAGCAAGACACACTCAATAAAGGAGTGGTTCTGCAGGTGGGGACCACAGACCACTTCTCAGTACCTATGCTTTCTGGCTGATGTTTTGGTCACTTTTGAATGTTGGTGGTGCTTTCACACTCGTGGTAGCATGAGACGGACTCTACAACCCACACAAGTGGCTCAGGTAGTGCAGCTCATCCAGGATGGCACATCAATGCGAGCTGTGGCAAGAAGGTTTGCTGTGTCTGTCAGCGTAGTGTCCAGAGCCTGGAGGCGCTACCAGGAGACAGGCCAGTACACCAGGAGACGTGGAGGAGGCCGTAGGAGGGCAACAACCCAGCAGCAGGACCGCTACCTCCGCCTTTGTGCAAGGAGGAACAGGAGGAGCACTGCCAGAGCCCTGCAAAATGATCTCCAGCAGGCCACAAATGTGCATGTGTCTGCACAAACGGTTAGAAACCGACTCCATGAGGATGATATGAGGGCCCGACGTCCACAGATGGGGGTTGTGCTCACAGCCCAACACCGTGCAGGACACTTGGCATTTGCCAGAGAACACCAGGATTGGCAAATTCGCCACTGGCGCCCTGTGCTCTTCACAGATGAAAGCAGGTTCACACTGAGCACATGTGACAGACGTGACAGAGTCTGGAGACGCCGTGGAGAGCGATCTGCTGCCTGCAACATCCTTCAGCATGACTGGTTTGGCAGTGGGTCAGTAATGGTGTGGGGTGGCATTTCTTTGGAGGGCCGCACAGCCCTCCATGTGCTCGCCAGAGGTAACCTGACTGCCATTAGGTACCGAGATGAGATCCTCAGACCCCTTGTGAGACCTAATGCAGGACAATGCTAGACCTCATGTGGCTGGAGTGTGTCAGCAGTTCCTGCAAGATGAAGGCATTGAAGCTATGGACTGGCCCGCCAGTTCCCCAGACCTGAATCCGATTGAGCACATCTGGGACATCATGTCTCGCTCCATCCACCAACGTCACGTTGCACCACAGACTGTCCAGGAGTTGGTGGATGCTTTAGTCCAGGTCTGGGAGGAGGTCCCTCAGGAGACCATCCACCACCTCATCAGGAGCATGCCCAGGCGTTGTAGGGAGGTCATACAGGCACGTGGAGGCCACACACAATACTGAGCCTCATTTTGTCTTGTTTTAAGGACATTACATCAAAGTCGGATCAGCCTGTAGTGTGTTTTTCCACTTTAATTTTGTGTGTGACTCCAAATCCAGGCCTCCATTGGTTAATAAATTTGATTTCCATTGATGATTTTTGTGTGATTTTGTTGTCAGCACATTCAACTTTGTACAGAACAAAGTATTCAATGAGAATATTTCATTCATTCAGATCTAGGATGTGTTATTTGAGTGTTCCCTTTATTTTTTTGAGCAGTGTACTTAGTGAAAAAATAAATCAAATTGACAATGTAACGTGGTATGAAATTCTAACAAAATATAATGCAAAAAAAAAAGTCACATGCCAGCAAAAAATGCCACACAATTGAGTTTATTGCAAAAAGTGCCCACTTAATAACAGATCATATATAAACCAAAAAAAATAAAATACCTATTCGTGGGAAAATGCAATGAATGTCAGCTTTTTTTGGCCCATAACTGTTTGTAGTTTCAGTAGATAACTACACCAAAAAATGGTACAAAAGAGTAATTTTACTACTTGAATCAAATATGAATGTAGTTAAACTACCAGCAAGCTACTGCAAAATATAGTTAATAGTTCTAGTTTAATGAGATGTTGTTCACTACTCCCCAACAGTGATAGATACATTGTGATTATATTTACTATAAAAGTCAAAGTGCATCATATTTGAGGTTTACAAAATGTAAACAGTAACAACTGAGTAGTAAAGTAGTAAATGATATTTCACGTTTTATTTATAATATAATATATATTTTTATACAACACTTGCATTCGTTTGAACAACGTCTGTTTTCATATTTATGTACTTAAATTGTAATTATTTTTGTGAAACACTGTTATTTTGTTATCTTAATATCCGGGCAATACTTATGTTCCACACTCTAAGGCACTGTATCAAATGAAAAGGCATCAAAAAATGGCGGGATCTGCATAATTACAAGGAAATAAACAGCGCTCCAATCACCGCTGTGGCTAAACCGGCTCTGGCCATGACTGGTCTTACAAGCGGAGAGCCCGCCTATCAGCTGCTCTCATTGGCAAGTTCTTCCTGCACTGGCGTGCAAGGCGCCAACTTTTAAACAACTATGCGCCAAATTTACTCTGTACATCTGCTGTTGTTGTGATAGAGAGCAGCTGCCTGACTGAGCGCCGCTGTGTAATTCTGCACGAAGAGGTAAGTCATTTTTACAACTTATAACCTGATGAACACGGTTAACATCAAACTATGACCTGTACAGCTCAGTTAAACAATACAACCTTACAACTCATATAAAAGTCATTTCCATACAACATGAAGCAGAGGCGCTCTACGAGTTTGACAGACTGACTAGACTAGACTAAAACACTGATTCTTGCCAAAGAAAACTGGGGTTTAACAGCAGCTGAGAACAGATGGTAAATGAAACGATATGGTAGGTTATCAAGTTAGAGTTCCAGTAACCCGCTCAACATTCATGTAAACATCCACTTTGTTTTGGCGGTAAACAAGAAGTCTCTCGCGCTACTGCGCGAGTTTCCCGCGATTAAATAAGAATCCGTTCTAAGCTACGGTTAAGTTTATTGTATCGTTTTTAGGATGTTATCTTTGTATGCTTGTCATAACTTGGACAGTAATGGGTTAAAATTGCATGGCATGCTGTGTCTAAACTAAATCCAGGTTAATTTCTAGAATTATGCACATGCACAACTAACTTTTTCTGAGGTCGAACGTATTTTAAACACAGTGATATTTGAGTAACTGACACTAGTCCTAATACTTATACGAGTAATACTAATTTTTGACTTAATACTAATACGAGCGCTAATACTTAAACTTACAGGTCCATTCAGTGCAGTAAACTGTTGTATTCCCAGCAGGCCAAATGCAACGTCATATATAATCAATAGGCTATTTGAACGTATCGAACTAGCTCAGATCTCCGTGAAAACAAAGGCAGCTGAAACAGTGTAAGGACTGGCTGCACCGCTGAGTGTAAACTGAATGAATCAGATGTGAAGGGGAGGAAATCCGGGAAACGCGTAAAATAAATGGGCGTATTTTACAGAGCACATGGTCGACCCTTAACCTTCACCAACGTGGCTTTACATGCTCTTCAGCTACTTATACTTCATTAATCCCAGACCTGAACCTCTTCCCCCAGGTAAGATACTGAATCTAGACAACATAGACTACGTAAATGATCATGTTGTTATGAATAGGCTTACTTTAATATGACAGGATTGTGTTTTGAGGCTAAACACTGTATCTTGTCTGAAATGTTAAGGTTAAAGAAATGTTGCTCTTGATAAACTGTAAGGAGAAGACCGAATATTTAACATTGTACCAAACATATGTCGCACATGCTAAGCTATCGTACTAGGCTATAACATAGTTACATATTTAAATAATTTTTATAACATAACCTACCATCGCTGTAAATTTTTTGATGAATGAATTGACCACGCAATGAGGAAGTGATGAAAGACTAAAGGAGTGCAGTGTTTAGAACATGCTGTTGTAAACGGACACGTGTTGTGTAGTGATTATTGATTTAACAGGGTAAAGTTGCCTCTGTATTATTATATACCTATTCTAATATATTGTGTAAAATGAAGAAAACATTTTTTTTTTTTTTGGCTATTTGAAAAGTTTGAGAAGCTTTTTTTTTCTCGAGAAAACAGTCACCAGGACTTAACTTTATTGAACATCTTCAATAACATCTGAAAAGGGAAAAAGCAAAACATGCCAAACTGTGATACTGTACTCACTCTCAAGTAGGGATGTTTGATTCCAGAAATTTTGGAATTTTGCAGCCGATGGGAACTGATAGTAATCTTAATTCCTGAAACGACAAAGACATAGACATAGAGACATAGAGAAGAACACAATAGTAATAATATTTGACCTTGGCAAGAAAGTAATCTTAATTCCAAAAACAAAGACATAGAGAAGGAAACTTGTCTAGTAAAGAAGTAAAGAGTACAGTAAGTATGTGAGTATTTGAATTAAAGGTGTCCAAATTTAGTATTAACTATCAGTATTTTCCTTACATTCTATTTATTACTGAGATTTTTCTGTACTTGTTTTTAGACCAAAGTGCAAGATGAAATGTTTATCAGAAAGCAGGTGAGTAGAACATATATTAAGCATCATGGTGGTAGAGTGAATTTAAACGTTTTAGGTTTGTGGTTCTAGTCATATCTAGCCTTTTGTTTCAGTGTTGTTTGCTATTATCATGACATATTTGTAGCCAAGTGAAACACAACATGGTCAACTTTTGATTCTCTGAACTAAACATTTTCTTCTCTGACAGAGCCCTTGTGGCCATCATCCTTTTCATTCTGGGAATGGGGACACTTCTTCCATGGAATTTCTTCACAACTGCCTTTGCTGTAAGAGAACAGTGACATTTTTTGTGACTGCATCACATCCTATGTTGTTTTCACAACTGTTGACTTAAAATTGATATCTTGTCTTTCACAGTATTTCAATGATCGTCTAAATACAACAATGAGCAATGGCACAGAATCTGGCCAGACAGATCCATACATGTTCAACAACATGTGTGTGCTGATTTCCCAGCTTCCTTTGCTGCTGTTCACCCTCCTGAACTCCTTTCTTTATCAGCAGTGAGTATTTTGTGACTTTTTTCCAATATTCCTGCTAGAAGTTGGGAGTGGGGTGGTGTTAAAGAGAATTTACATATTGCTTTCTGATCATGTCCTGTGCTGTACTGATCTGAAATCTGTTTATTACTCTGTAGTATTGCAGAGAAGATAAGGATAGTTGGAAGCATGGTCTTCATATTACTGCTCTTCATCCTTACTGCCGCTTTGGTGAAGGTGAAAATGGAACAGGACCTTTTCTACAACGTTACGATGACAACCATCTGGTTCATCAACAGTATGTCCACTCATTAAACAGACGTAATACAAAATTAAACAGACACTTTTACTGTTGATAATGCTAAAACATGATAGTTGCAGCATTATTTGAATGTTGTTAATGTTATGACATGTTATAACATGATAACAATCCTCAATCTCTCTCTTGCTAGTGTTTGGGGCAGTGTTACAGGGCAGTCTGTTTGGTCTGGTTGGGAAGCTCCCTCAGAGGTACAGCTCCTTTTTTATGAGTGGTCAGGCTGTGGCTGGCATCTTCTCTGCTGTTGCCATGTTGATTTCACAGATATGTAAGTCCCTGAAGCTTCACATGCAAAACCTGCCTTTGCATTCTACACTAAAAGTCTGTATCCAGTTGTGCTGATCTAAAAGCTCTTGGTTGTCTCTCTAGCTGAAGTAGACAATGAGAATGCGGCTTTGGGCTACTTTGTGACCCCCTGTGCTGCTACACTCCTCACACTGTGCTGTTACCTGCTGCTGCCTCACCTGGTAGGTCACTTTTTGACTGATATGTACAGTGAGTTCATAAATTATATGTTTTTTCATTGTAGCTGTCCAAAAAACCTGTCTTGCCATTTTCTTCTATTTTTATTTCACTTGAATACAGCAGTTGTCCTTTACATACTACGAAAATTCATCATTAATGGACCAATATAAATATAAATATATATAGATTGGGCAGCAACAATATGTTAATATGTAAGAATATGGGAATGCAATTGCTTAATGTAATTAATGTTTAATATTAATATTTCTACCAATTTTTTTTTAATATTTCAGAAATTTGCCCGTGATCATTTAGAAGATGGGCCTGGTAACAAAGAGGACACCAAGAAAGAGGGAATTCAAAAGGGTAAGTTTCACATATCATTGTTAAATAACGCCTGAGACTGGCACACTGATAGAAAATGTCACCTGTTGGACTCACTTTTGGTAAAAGTAATAACTCTCAGGTCTCAATGGCAGTTTGCCTGTTGCTTTTTGTGTGTTTGCTGTAGAGAGCGTGACCTTGGTCAAGGTGAAGCTCAGTGAGCCTGCCTATGGTCCAAACTGCAGTGGTCAGAGCAATTCCAAGACTGCTGATATAAGAGAGAAGCAGGAAGAGCAGTATGAAGAGAAGTCACCAGTGCTAGCAGTCCTTAAAAAGGTAGATTTTTAAATATTTTATAATTATTCAGGATCTGTAATAATCTGTAAGATTCTAGATTGTTTATGCAAATAACCTAGATAAAATCAATTCATTCATGTCATTTTGATGTTTTTATTATTTCAGATTTGGGTCATGGCCTTGTGTGTGACCTGTGTTTTTATGGTCACCCTCTCAGTTTTCCCAGCCATCACTGTGCTGGTGCAACCAGATGCCCTCTTTACAGGGATATGGGGTGGGTTTCCATTGCTTTCCACAACACACTGTTTTTTTTCTAAAAAGTGAAGAATAGCATGATCCACATTATGGGAATTCAAATTAAATTGATCTTTCCCTTTTTCTCTTTCAGCGGACATTTTTACTGCCCTCTGCTGCTTCCTGGTCTTCAACGTAATGGACTGGATTGGCCGAAGTGTTACCTCAGTTGTTCAATGGGTTAGCATCAGTATGCTTTTTTAAACGTTAATACCAATAAACAACAAAAAAAAAACGTTTGAGGCACATACATTTTGTGTAATTAATGTTAGTTTTCCTTTGTTTTGGTGTCTGAATGATTAATTTTATAATTTATCATTTGTAACAATAATTTATTCATTTGGAAAACTGAGAAGTCTGAGACTTGATATTTGTTCTCCTAGCCCTCAAAGGAGAGCCGTCTCTTCCCGATCCTTGTGGTGGCCCGACTGATCTTCATCCCAGCGTTCATGTTGTGCAACATTCCATCTCACCGTCTATCAGGAGTTTTCAAGCATGAATTTGCCTATATACTTGTCATGTCATTGTTTGCTATGACAAATGGGTATTTTGCCTGTCTCTGCATGTCCTATGCACCACAGTAAGTACAAATTTAACTCATAATGTAGTCATAAAGTAGCATTCTATTCCATCATTTACTAAATGTTATTTTGTTACTGTTGAAGACTGTTAAGACTATTTACTACTACTGCCTAAACTTCTTGAATGTTTATCATTGTTACTGATTGTAGACTGTTGTATTCACAGTGAGTTCAGTAATAGCGCTGTATACTCATACTCTCCCACATTTTTTCTCACTAGGTTGGTGAGGCCTAAAGACGCAGAGACGACTGGGGCTCTGATGACCTTCTTCCTGGCTTTGGGGTTGTCCCTTGGAGCTGCACTCTCTTTTGTGCTGAAAATGTTAATATAGTTTTCACTGGTGACTCTCCAAGCATGAGTCATGCTTTTATGATGTCTGTGTGTGTATATGTGTATCCAAGCATGACTCAGAAATGACTCATGCTTTGCTTTTATGATCTGTGTTTGTGTGTGTGTGTGTGTGTGTGTATATATATATATATATATATATATATACACGCACAGTACAGTACACGTTTTAGACTCCTAATAAAATAATTAAAATAAAAATTAGAATAGATGCAGATAAACGTAAAGATAAATACAATAAAAATATGTGATAAATACTTTTTTATGTAAATTTTTACCATTTATATACAATTTTCTCAGGTGCCTAAAACAGTTGCACAGTACTCTATTTTGTGGGCTCAGGATTGGCAAATCTGCCATTAAATTGTGCATGTTACACGATCCAAAAAAGAAAACAATTCTGGCTATATACGTTTGACAGAATGCCACAGTTAGGCTAGCTGGACTATTTATACGGGTTATAAAGAAGACCGCTGCAGTCCTTTGGCCGATTTTAGATTCAAAGCATCTTTTGATCTTCGCTTGTAACACTGAAACTCTGGCACTTACTCACTCAGTCACTTTCTCTTTAACTCACTCCCTCTGTTACTCTCTTTCTCTGTCCCTTTACTCCTTTTTCTCTCACTCTTTGTGAATAGATGACTGATTAGACCTGGCTGTACACCCCCTATGAAATGGTAGCTAAAAAACAGCTGCAGTTGAAAGACTTTAAAGATTAGGTTGTTTTATGAACATTATAGTTTTTATATCACGCAAATCTTTTTTCAGCAATCCACCACTGTTTTTTCTTAGATTCCAATTAAGACACTATGATCTTTAACACGCTCAAATGATGATCTTTAACATGCTCATTTTTTAACTGTTACTGATAACTCAGCGTCCTGCTCGGAAGAATTTCATTACGAAGTCCTTAATGGCCTATAGCTTATAGAAAATTGTTAATTTACTACCATGTGGTCAAATTATGAAATACAGGTTTTTTTAAAAGTGTATATATATTTAACTCAAACTGTTTAAAAACACGATCGACCTATGTCTCTAAGAGAATTACTCTTGCAAGATCTAAAAAAAAGATCTGTTAGCAAATATGAGAACTGTATAGCCTAAACTTATTGGGACAGTGTGGGCAAAATTCATTTGCATGATATTGTAACCAAATAGTACGAGTGAAATAATCAGAAAGATTGTGCCAGTTACTTCAGGGACATGCTCTCATGACAGGGAATTTTTATTTGTTTAAATTATTGAGTGCCTTTTTTCATTGTATGTTTTTATAAGTGTTTTTAATGTTTTTGATACATTTTTATATACAGCTTTTTTACATTTTTAATGGATATGTAATCGCTGTCCAAAAAAATATGTCTCCAAAATGTTAACTTTACAGGACAATACAAAAACATTTCTAACTTTAAATGCAAGCTGAAGTAAAGATACTATTTTTAAGTGATTTTGGAACATTTCTACTAGTCCATTCATCATGAAAATTTCAGACAACGTAAAGGGCAGCTGCTGTATTCAAATGATGCAGAAAAGTAAAAAACTGCATAAAATGGAGAAACAGTTTATTCAAATTTTTTTTTGGACAGCGACAATATATTTGTGCTTTTTCTATATACATGTCTTGTATTTTCTTTGTTATTAATACACTGTTTTTTTATTACTCATTAGTTTATATGATAACTAAACACTTGGTGAAGTGCTTGGATTGAGAATTACCTGTGGTGCTAACTGTTGTTAAGTTAACCAGCTGTACAGATATTGTACACCACCCCTCATGACTCTCACATTTGTTACAGTTTGGTATTTGGGATTTTTAATACTTGTGTGAACATGCATACACACAAAATTAAATATCAGGTCAATTTAAAATTATAAAGCAGTTTGTTTCACAGAGTTTTTGTTACCGTAACAAAGTTGTAATTTGCCTTAATTTTATGTTGACCTGACATTTTAGCTTTTTATAGTGTATGCTCATTTTCTATCAACATAGTGTTCTTTCAATGCTGTTTTTTTGTCATTCTATACTAGAAATCTGGGTATATTATTATTGTACAGAATTGTATTATTGTAATATTGTACAGAAAGTAGGCCTGTTTAAAACTGGACAAGCTATGTTACAACACAAAACAACTGTCTACATATAAATCACATTTTCTTTAAAATAAGGCAGCTTTGAAGAAGGCAGGTTGCTTGCACTGAGTCAGGACAAAGGGAAAACAAAAATGTGACAGGTTTACAAATAAATTTGATTTTATGTCATCACTCTTTCTGTGTCTGGCCATGCATTCACTCACATCTGTGTGTCCTGAAGTAGATAAATAGTTTGAACAAATATTTTTTACAGTGTATGCTGTTGAATAATAATCATGTGACATATTAATTCCACCTGCGGGTCATTTTTGAAGGTTCTCTGTGTGTGCAGTGTGGGGGTGGCAGCTCTTTTCTTTCAGCAGAACCCATCTCCAGCGCAGAGCTTCATCCAGCCTGGCCTGCTCCAGTATCACTAAGAAATGCTGCTCTGCACCAGACTGTAGCAAATAAATAAGATCTATTCAAACAACTAAAAAAATGGAAGATTGGTAACTGTCTTACAAAGGAAGTAGTAGATAAGCTCAGTGAAGGCTGTTAGTGGGCAAATACAGTGCTGTAAGTTACAGACCTCCCTTTTGTTTATTCAATTTCCAGTGAAAATGGTCATAATTTATTAATTTTTCCATATGAGGAAACATTTAACGTAATATTACACAAAACTTTGATATCACACCTGTCTGTATTTAATTTGTTTGGTCTATAGCCACTTTAACTCTTCCATTCTTCCAGTCTTAAATCCAACTAGTTACAAGCTGTGACCTCCCAACCAAAGCTGCTCCTAAAAATCTCACTGAAATTATGTTGCCCTTCAAACAGACACTAACATTCACATAAGCAACTACACAAACACACCTAAGATGTCCTGCACATTTTTATGTCCATCTAGAATGGAGGTTAGATAAGACAATCCACTCGCATACAGAAAAAAACTGGAAATTTGAGTTCAAAAAATGATTAAAAGATGGGACTCTTAACCATTCAAGAGCTGGAAGACCACTGTCCCCTTCAGATAAATAGTACTAAAAGCTTTCATCTTTGAGAGAGCTCCACTCTTACTTCAGATCTGAAAAAAATCTGAAACCACAGGTGTTTTTCGAGAAGACAACTCAACATTATGAGTCTAAAAGGATGTGTAGCTGACAAGAAGCCATTACTGAGAAAAGCAAATAGACAAAAAAGAAAACTTGCAATAAAACACCAAAACTAGACTTTATTTCATGGACTGATGTGTCTAAGCTTGTAATTGGTATAACTTGAATTGTGAGAAGCAGAAAATGCAAGCATTTTTGCTTATGTTTTCAGTATCAACATTTGGGAAAATATTTATAATAGTGAGGTCAGACTCTGCTAATATGACTGCTCTAAAAATGTAAATACGAAACAGATACGCTTAGAATTTGAAGACTAGCAGTTCAGTTCTGTTGCTGCTCTGTAGTTCTACAGTGAAACTGCATTTCGTTGGTTTGTAGACTGGTTATTAAAGAACAAGATAGAAGGTCTATCCCATCACAGCATAATTAAAACATTTATTAATTAAGATTTGCCGCCCTGTTGTCCTCAAAGGTACAAAGTTAACATCTCCCTACAATTAAACCTCTGGGAAATACCAAAGTTCTGGAGGGAATTCCCCCTGGTGGGTTTTCCCCTCCACTGAAAACCACATGGGGGAGATTTTTTGAAGATTATAAAATTGCATTTTATAGTGACCTCAGTATCATCCAAAACAATGTGCGTAAAATGTTGAAATTTATGTCAAATTGACCCCAAAGAACACTTATGCATACAAAATGTGTACAGGACATTGAAAACGTGTCATGTTGATTTTATGTCTAGCCAGTCGTCCCCATTACATTAGGGAAAGCCATTCAACATGAAGCAAAAAAAGTTATTTAGAGATGTTTGATCAAATTGACCCCAATGATAATAGGAGGGTTAAAACTAAGCCTATGTAGCAAAAAAGAGGCTCTGAATGTGAGTTAATTTGGTGGCCACTAAGTATCCCTACAGATAAGCCGAAAGAATCCATATTTTGATGTGCTTTTGTCCAGGGTTTAGTCTACCACTTATTCTGAGCAAATATTAAGGGAACTTGATCTCTTCAAGGCATTTGCCACATTAACATGTTGGAGAATCTTAATGGCCTTACCTTATAACTACTCCAGTCCACAAAACTTAAAACTTAAAACTTTAAAACTATGAAGATCCGACATTTCCATTTCCTTTTGGAATTGCAATGTGCCCCCACAGTCTGGAACAGTGTGAGAAGTGATGTGGATATATTTAACATAGCCCATTTTTAGATTTTAATCACTGATGTTGTTAAGGCAACAAAATGTGGCATCACTTGGCAAAATCTACAGACTAAATGCACTGCAAATGTCTTGCAAGACAGCAAAATAAAATAGAATGTGACACTGGATAATTTCCTTAAATATTTTATTAATTTTTCTCCAAAATGGTGACAAGATGGGGAAGAGGAGGCTTTGACTGACAATGCCAATCTGCATGAAACTTTGCGACTTTGACCTTTATTTGCCCATAACACCATGGATGTCCCTTAGCAGTTCTGCCATTGCATGTAATGTTGATGTTAACTCAGGGGACATAAGCCTAATAGTGCTTCTCAGGGCACTGCAGCAAAGCCATCCAATACACCTCACAGTATTCCTGGAGTTAGACTTTTTGGGCTTCCTTGGTAGGAAACATAAGAGAGGAGGTGACTAGTAAGGACAAAGGTGCCACTACAGGGTACAGGGATGTGTGTGTGCATAGTGTCGGGAGGGGGTGTTGCTGTTCTACAAGTCACTCTCTCCATACAGGGCGCTGGAGAAGGAAATGTAGTCCAGAGCATCTGTTGGAGCATCAGTTCCGACATATCGGGTCATGCGGCTGATGCAGTACTCGGCCTGCTCTGGAGGCAGCTCCCGTCTCAGCTCCTCCACTGTGATGTATAGCTGAAAAACAGTCAAGACAGGCAGACACAGTCAGGCACATTTCACAAACAAACAAGGCTTACTTCCTTTTTTCTTGGCATATTCTAATGTGCTACCCAGGTTACACCAATTTAGGGGTGTTGGCTGGTCTTTCAAGTACTGATCTTTATAGATCATTTTATACTAAACTGAACATTAGGAGAATCTCTAATTTCAGAGCATTTAACAGTTGCATCCTCGTATGGTATTCTTTACAGTTATTACTTACAGTCACTAGATCAGGGGTGACCAATCCTGGTCGTGGAGATCCACCACCCTGGAGAGTTCAGATCCAACACACCTGGCTCTAATACTTAGATGCCACTGAAGGCCTTCATTACCTGGATCAGGTGTGTTTGATTAGGGCTGGAGCTAAACTGTGCAGGGTGGTAGATGTCAATGACCACAGTGACCAGGATTGGACACCCCCACACTAGATGGTCACCTTTATCAATACAGACTGAAAGACTATATATATATATATATATATATATTAGTTGTGATATACATGACAACTAAAACTACTGGCAAAACCACATCAGTCTGCCCTTAGTTCTAGCTGAAATATGTAGTTGATACTGTAGTTTGTGTCACAATTCCATTTCTCTGATATGTCATTTGAGTCACAATTCCATTTCTCTGATATGTCTGTGTTTCCTTCTAGAATGTATGCAAAGATACAGAAATCTCACCTTATCAGATGCCAAGATCTTGAAGGATGCCATGACCTGTTCAGCAGTGTCTGTCTCAGCTGTCTCTCTGGTCATGAAGTCAATGAAGGCCTGGAAGGTGACAACTCCTGTGTTGTTGGGGTCCACCAGGGTCATAATACGTGCAAATTCAACTTCACCCTGTAGCAGTAGAAGAAAGGACTGGCTTATAATGCAGTACAAATCACTGTTTAGCATTATAGATTCTGTCCTGACTGAGACGGGTTAAAATGCATCACATTGTATGAAACAATGAAAGAGGTGATGACACACACATCTATAGATTTCTGCTAAAATTGCATGTAAAGTAAACTTTTTATTCTGTAATTGCGGCATACGTAAACTGCTTGTTTGGTATGTGACCTCACACTCACCAAATCGTAGCCCATAGAGATGAGACAAGCACGGAAATCATCTGGGTCCATCATGCCATTCCTCTTCTGCAAATCCAAGAAATCAGTGCGTTACTCACACTAGCTAAACATAAAACCTGGCCAAGTATCTGAATCTACAGTTCTAAACTGCAGAATATAGCCAAATACTGAATAATGAAACAATCAGATTCCATGTTCTCACCCTGTCGAAGTGGTTGAAGGAGGCTCTGAACTCATTGAGCTGTTCCTGGCTGATGCCCTTGGCATCGCGGGTCAGGATCTGGTTCTCCACCTCGTTGATGGTGCGTGCAATGGTGGTGAGCAGCTGCTCCCAGCCCACACGGACATGCTACACAACAGAAATGGATGAATGCGGATGCATGTCAGTCGCAAAAATATGACCGTGGCAGACTGAGATAAAGCAGAAGGTGCATAACTGGTTGAACTAACTGCATAAAGATAAATGTACCTCCATGGTGTAGTTAGTGTGCTTGTTATCAAAGATAAGACCCTCCTGACTGAGTTGGTGGTCTCCTTCCAGCTTGTCAATGTTGGATTTGTAGTTGATGATGTTCTGTTCATACTGTTTCAGATTGCTCATCTGTTCCTCCAGTGAGCCGGCAATGTCAATGGACACATGGCTGATCTCCTGGATACGGATTTAGGATGGGTGTGATTTAGGGACGGTCTTAGATAGGAAAAAACAGCACTGCATTATTGGTGTAAGCCTGTTCTTTAGTACCTCCATCTTGGTCTGAATCCAGGGTCCAATGATGTTGGCCTGGGCAGCAAACTGGCGTCTCAGCCTCTCATTGGACTGCTGCCTGGCCACCTCCTCCTGTAGCATTTGATCACGCATTGGGACCAGCTGTTTGACCTGTTTTGTGGGAAAAGAGGACAGAGAAGAACAGTCTCGGACAGTGGCAGGCTAAGTAATAACATGGCAACGGTTCTATAGAAGTGAAAGTTGTGTGAAATGGATATCACAGAATATATAGCTTTAGCAGTGGCTAACAGTGCTCTCATTATTGCAAAGAGCAGAAACAGTCAGACTCACAGCCTCCCACTTGTTGCTAATGTCCTGTGGGGTGATGTTAGTGTATGGGTTCTCGCCC